TTTAATATTTATAAGTTTGTCTTTCATTTTCATTTTTTCAGTGAATTCTATTGTTGGATTTTTTTGTGCATTAAAGCCTCAATGTTTGTTGGCTCCATATGCAAATATTTTTCAAATTATGTTGCTCTGTTTTTAATGAATATAATCCCTTAGCATGTTAGCCTTATAATTTTTATTGGTGGTTTTTGAATATTTGCCAAATTTTGTTATGCTATTCATCCCAATATTATTGTTTTAATAGTTTTTTATTTTTTTGTTATGCATACATATTTTTATTTTAATACATTGGAAGCATATTTAATCCTGCTTCTTGAATTTTTTTTCTTTTTCTAAATTTTTCTACTAATGCGATCGGCATTTTTTTGTTCTTTGTAGATTTCGATTGCGAGGACTTGTAATTGCCTATATTCTCTGTTGCAGCAGCGACAACGCGATATTGAATTTAGAGAGTCTGCAAATGAACAACGACAAAGGTATTTTCTATTTTATGTTATTTATTTGCTCAATTCAGGGGAGTGGTTCTGTTTTTGATATTTCTACATCTTAACATGGTACTAGCATAAAAGATGGGAGATAGTATGGTGTAAGGTCATCGCATACAGGTTGCAAATGGAATTATTGATTTTTTTGTTTGCAAAAGGCTTTATAGATACTAAATCTTTGCTTCTGACTTTGCCCCTTATTAGTTTTTATTTCAAACTTTTTTCCTATGACGTTTCATGCTTTAGTTTGGCATAGCAAGTGCAATAGAGATTGTTTGGAGATTGGCTTGGATATCACACGTTACTAGACTATAATTGTGTTACCCTGTTGTAAGCCTGCTCATGCATTTGTAGCTATGTTACATAAACTCTGGAATCAGGACCAAGTGTCTGATATTGATTTCCTTAAATAATGCAGCCCTGAATCCTTTTTAATTTTGTGTAATAGGTCACCTCTATTTTTATTAAAAAAACATGTTACAAGGTTTTCTAAGCACCTGGTTATCAAAACATATATTTCTTTGGGTTGCTAGCCATATTAGTTAAGCATTACAATATTTACTCAGCAGTAAGATTTTATGCTACAAAGATTGTACTTTCTGAGGTGGACCTCCTTAGAAGTTTATTATTTTATGGAGTTCTCATCAGCTTATGTTTTTATGTAACTTAAGACTATGGTTCACCTTTGTCAATAGAGATCACAATGATGCTAATCTGACATTAGTTTTATTACATGTGACCTTTTAGGTTTTGCTATGCTTTTCTTTACATAATTTGTACACTTACAGGTAAATTCCCATTGAATGGGGATGTCCCTTTTAAATGGTCTTGCTGTACTTCAACTGTACTGTTGACAGCATCAAATTTAGATGTTTTTGTGCTTGGGAAAATATACATAATGCTATTTCTGTCACAGTTATGCTCTTTCTATGTCTTCACTGTGGTAGTTTGAAAATGCTATGTAAGATGCGCATGATGTTTTTTTCTTTGAGCAGGAAGAGGGAGTAGATAAAATTGCAAATTCACTTCATCCAGGATTAGTTGTCACCAATATTGCCCGTCATTATTTGGGCATCTTTAATGGTAATTATTTAAGTGTTCGATGTTATGATTGGGATTTCTCCAATGTGGCACATCATTTTTTCTTTCCTGATCCAAGGAAGCAATATGGATACTGTTACCTTGTACATAAAGCATGCAAATCACTTTACTTCCTTTGTCTTGCTATAGGCGTTTTTCACAAGATTGGTAAATTGTATTGAAGAGTTAGGAACCCTCTTGAATTCTTCAAACCCTGGCATTCTGCAGCTCTCATGAACTCTCAACTTCCTTTCCTCTTTTACCATTTGGTGACAAAGAGGGAAATGGCAAGATGAACTTAGTTCTCCACTTAGTTGCAAGATAATCCATTTGAAGTGCGAACAACTCTTAGTGGAATGTAACTTTTCTCAAGTGTTCTTGGCAATTACATGCCAATAGACATGTATACACTTCTTTTACTGTTAAAAAGTTAT